TTTTTTTTTAATGAAAATTATATATCAAATATGAAACATCAGGGTTTTGAGGGACGTTTATTTGTTTATCTCTGAATCCCAAAAAAACAAAACAAAACAAAAAAACCCAAAGAGCTTTGATAATACAATTTAAATATAATTTCACTAAGACACATTATTTGGACATATAGAATGACAACTGATATTTATATGTGTTTTATTAAAGTAGTCTGCTTTACTGTTATAAAGATCTCACTGACATTATATTATAAGCTTTTAACATTTTATATTTTCTCAGTTTGGGCCTCTGAATAAAATTTTAACAACAATGTTATGTTTACACTTGCTAATATCATGTTCTCTTTAAACGAAGTTTAAAAAACTGAGTAACATTTAAATTGAGCTAGGAACAACTAAAAACCAAAGGGAACCTCACACTAATACATTAACTATGGAAACATATTAGTGGGGATGATCTGTGTTTGCTGAACTCCACCTGTAAGCAGGATGGGAGCAGCAAACAGTATAAAATTACAACAAGATTATCTAATCTAAAATTCTCTTCTACTTCCTGTAGGTTTTTGAAAAGTCCTTAAGAATTTCAACACAATCATACCACTGAATTTCATTTCCAATACAAGTGTCATGACAAAATAATAATTGCTTCAATAATTTGAAAATAAGTACATCCTACTGTAGAAATGCACAATACATAAAATTAAGATGAAATTATATTAAAAAAACATAATAAGAATATAATAATAATAATTAATAAAAATATAATTCCTTTAGGTTTCTGAAAAGTGCTGCTGCACTCGAAGCGTGTAAGTATCTCACAAAAGTTCTGGGTAAAAGTCCATTACTTCTGACAGAACTGGATCTGAGTGAAGATAAATTAGGAGATCTGGATTGGGAGAAACTCTCAGCTCTTTTGAGGGACTCTCATTGCAAACTGGAGACAATGAAGTGAGTCTACATGATTTTATAGGCAAGGTTATTCATGTAGAACATGTATGCAAATTCAAAGTGCTATACAAAAAAAGTTAACAATTTTCATAAAAGGTGTATAAGAAATGTAAAACATATTTTAATTGAAATAAGAGAAAAATACAGCAATAAAATAATACAGTGCAATCAGTAAATCCAGCACAGTGCTCAGATAATACACTGTTAAACAGTGTTTATAGTCTGGATTTGAATGTGCCTACTGACTTTTCTTGTGTTGTTGAACATAAACAAACCTTGTTCTGAACCTTAGTATTTCTGTATGTAAATGTAAAATGGCTTGTATAATCCTTTTTTTTATTTTTTATGCATCTCTTGTATTTTTGTAACTCAGTTTTTGCCATTATGTATTTCTAACTGGCTCAACCCTATTTTATTCATTTATCATATCCTCATTGTCTCTTAGTAATTGGCCACTGAATAAATTAACAGGTAATAATACTATAAAAGCAATTCTAACTGTACATGGAAGCCAATGTTAGAACCTGAGTGTGATGCTCTGGTTCTGGTCATAATCCTGGAAGCATTGTGCTCTGTATGAGCTGCAGCTGTCAAATGGTCTTTTTGGGAAGGCAGGTGATTGTAAGTGATGTGATTATAGTCCATTTTGCTAGTTATAAAAGCATGAAACAATTTTATCAAGTAGTAGTGGGATCTAAAAATCATCTATGTCTTGCTATATCTTGATATGATAGTTTGCTGATTAAGTTATTACTTGACATAACTACTGAAATCCTAAATCACACCTATATTCTTGACTTGATGTTTTGTTTTGTGATCCCTAAAATTCTGGATTTACCAAAGTTTTGGGTTAACCTTGAGAATTTCATCCTTTTTGCCAAATACAATAACCACTGTTTTTCTCGGTTATTTAAAGGAAGAATTGGTGCATCCAACTGTTACTTTGGTCAATACACTGGCTCAAGGAGTCAGTGGGACTGTAGTCACTGGGTGATAGACTTAGGTAGATCTGGATGTCATCTGCATAGCTGTGATGATCAGTTTGGTTCTTTTTTATTATTTTGCCTAGTGAAACCATATACAAGTTAAACAGGAACAGTGCAAGAATCAAGCCTTGTGGAACTTTCTATTCAGATTTATGGTCACCGGTGTTCACACAGTAACCCCTCTCTTCTAACTATGACCTGAACTTTATGATTATTTTCTTAAAGCCCTGCATATATAATATAAATGCATATATAATATATGTAGCTTCCTTAAAGCTACATATATAATATATAATATAATATAATACATTATAACTTCTTTATTCATTATAAAGACTATCAGCCATGTGTGGGGAAACATACTGGGCCTCATTTATCAATCTAATGTAAAAAAGAGCACAGATCCGTGCGCACAAATCAACTTACGACTTCACGTGTGATTCATGACACGTTCGTATGCCGCCAATCTCATACGAATGATTGCATGTTGATAAATGTGGCGGCAGAAAACAATCGGCATTTGAATATCACGCCCCTAAAAACACCCTGGTTTAGAAGCCTCGCCCCTAGAGTTTACGACACAGAGAAACGAAGAGAGGAAGTAATCTCATCAAAGAGAAATTGATCTTACTCCAAAAACAACCGTTTACCTTGTAATTCCAAACAATTAGGCTACATTAATTTATGTAATTTATATTAAAATACTGGTAAATATAAACAACCTATTTAGTTCCCCTCACTCTACAACAAATATTTTAAATTTAACGGTAACAAGAATGAAAAATAATTATAAAATTATATATTAAACTATTAAATAAAACACAAATTAGGCTATAGTGGCATTCTGTAACGATTCAATCCACTGAAGGCGAGAATAGTGAGAACCCAAGTGCAGTTTATTTACAAGGTAATCCAAACAATAATCCAAACTTGACATGACTAGGCATGAACAGACTAGACGTGGCATGAACAGACTAGACGTGGCATGAACAGACTAGACGTGGCATGAACAGACTAGACGTGGCACCGCCGCCTGATGAGGTGCAGCTGTGACCGATCAGCCTGTGATGATGATGGCCAGGTGCTCCTCGCTTGTTTCCAGGGTGACGCTGATGAAGCCTCGGGATGCTCGTCACACTACATATATAATATATTATATAATATAATACATTATAACTTCTTTATTCATTATAAAGTCTATCAGCCATGTGTGGGTAAACATACTGGGCCTCATTTATCAATCTAACGTAGAAAAGAGCGCTCTACAACAAATATTTTAAATTTAACGGTAACAAGAATGAAAAATAAGTAATTATAAAATTATATATTAAACTATTAAATAAAACACAAATTAGGCTATAGTGGCATTCAGCTCACGAGCCTGTCTATATATTGTGTGCGATCCTCTTTATTTTATTCCTTTTATAGACTTAATTTCTTTTTTTTCTCCTTTCACAGAAGCGCTGAAGGTGCATGATGCGACGATTGAATCCTCGTGGTCTTGTTTACGCTGCTATTCGCGCATATAAAGCTAAAGACATTCTAATAAAAAAAAAAGACATTCTAATCTTACTGGTTAACTATCAACTAATGAGCTTCAGTTGATGGTCAGGAAAATAAAAATGAACAAAATGCTGTCATTCTACAATTCTCCACCATATTTACATGCTGCGCGCAAGTTCAGGTACTTGCGTACACGAGTTGAGACCAGACGTGAGATTTGATCGTAGCCACCGCTCACGTCCATATTGATAAATTCCAAGTTTCAATATGGACAAAATGGTCGTACGATCATTTCGTAGATGAGGCCCATTATATGTATTTTTTTCCTCCAACATGAGGGCAAGGGAAGCATGACACTGACAGCATGAAACAATTACAAAATAAAAGACATGATGAACATGAAACAAAACCCAAACACCAAACCCCACATTACACATTCATTATAAACAGCATACACATGTCAAGCAAAACTGAAACGGCATTGGGCTCACGAGCCTGTCTATATATTGTGTGCGATCCTCTTTATTTTATTCCTTTTATAGACTTAATTTCTTTTTTTTCTCCTTTCACAGAAGCGCTGAAGGTGCATGATGCGACGATTGAATCCTCGTGGTCTTGTTTACGCTGCTATTCGCGCATTTAAAGCTAAAGACATTCTAATAAAAAAAAAAGACATTCTAATCTTACTGGTTAACTATCAACTAATGAGCTTCAGTTGATGGTCAGGAAAATAAAAATGAACAAAATGCTGTCATTCTACAATTCTCCACCATATTTACATGCTGCGCGCAAGTTCAGGTACTTGCGTACACGAGTTGAGACCAGACGTGAGATTTGATCGTAGCCACTGCTCACATCCATATTGATAAATTCCACGTTTTGCATTGAATCACAAAAACGAACGTAGCCTATACTTGTTGCACAGTTTTTTTTTTCCTTTTGTTAATTATATTATAGCCTATTGTATATTTTGTGTGGTCCTATTTATTTTATTCCTTTTATAGACTTAATTTCTTTTTTTCTCCTTTCACAGAAGCGCTGCAGGTGCATGATGCGACGATTGAATCCTCGTGGTCTTGTTTACGCTGCTATTCGTGCATATAAAGCTAAAGACGTTCTAATCTTACTGGTTAACTATCAACTAATGAGCTTCAGTTGACGGTCAGGAAAATAAAAAATGAACAAAATGCTGTCATTCTGCAATTCTCCACCATATTTACATGCTGCGCGCAAGTTCAGGTACTTGCGTACACGAGCTGAGACCAGACGTGAGATTTGATTGTAGCCACCGCTCACGTCCATATTGATCAATTCCACGTTTTGCATTGAAACGACCGTACGCCCAATTTTCTGTCATACGTTCGTTTCGTAAATGAGGCCCACTGTATAAAGACCTATTGATCTAATTTGTGTTAAATATTATTATTTATTTTTTTTGTATTTAGGCTTCAGATATGAAGAGCTGTTGATCTGATGTGTGTTGAACATGTGCTGAATAATAATAATCAAGCATCATGTTAGTTCAGGCAGGCCATGTCAGTCAAGCTCGCATCAGCTGATAGTCGTGTACCAATCCAGTCTTGACACTTATCACAGCGCTCCATTTAATTCTGTTCTTTCAGCATCTCTTTTATCGCATCGCTGCTTACAATCAAACTCCCTCCTTCAACCCCAACACTAACAGTATGCAATATAACTGTAATAAATATACTTGACGAAAGTGGTCCTGACTGAAATGCTGTTTTTGTGTTCAGGCTGAATAATTGTGAGCTGACAGAGAAAAGCTGTTCAGTTCTAGCTACTGTTCTCTCCTCCAAAACCATCCTGAAAGAGATGAACCTGAACAACAGCCGTCTGCTGGACTCAGGAGTCAAAGAGATCTGTGAGGGACTGAAGAATCCTGTGTGTGAGCTGAAGATACTCAAGTGAGTACATTTCACCATCAGTTACACTCAACACAACAGGAATCACAAAATATAGTATTTATTAAATCTTATATTAAACCACTAGGAGAGGACAAAATATAAAATTAACTATGCTGGTCAGTGCGGGTAATTTAACATATTAAGCATTTCTATTGTGGGAGATCCCCAACCCACACAGGGGCGAATTCTGTTCTTTCAGCATCTCTTTTATCGCATCGCTGCTTACAATCAAACTCCCTCCTTCAACCCCAACACTAACAGTATGCAATATAACTGTAATAAATATACTTGACGAAAGTGGTCCTGACTGAAATGCTGTTTTTGTGTTCAGGCTGAATAATTGTGAGCTGACAGAGAAAAGCTGTTCAGTTCTAGCTACTGTTCTCTCCTCCAAAACCATCCTGAAAGAGATGAACCTGAACAACAGCCGTCTGCTGGACTCAGGAGTCAAAGAGATCTGTGAGGGACTGAAGAATCCTGTGTGTGAGCTGAAGATACTCAAGTGAGTACATTTCACCATCAGTTACACTCAACACAACAGGAATCACAAAATATATTATTTATTAAATCTTATATTAAACCGCTAGGAGAGGACAAAATATAAAATTAACTATGCTGGTCAGTGCGGGTAATTTAACATATTAAGCATTTCTTTTGTGGGAGATCCCCAACCCACAGGGGCGGATTTAGTGAATTTTGAAAATTCATTTGTACATTGAAGACAGTTCACAAGCGGCTTGCTTTTTATGGATTTTTGTTATTTAGGACACTGTGTAGAATAATTGATTAATCAACTGAATGTTTCATTTTTATTTCTTTTCTAGATTTTCAAACTGCAGTATCACTGAAGAAGGTTATAAAGCTCTGGCTTCAGCTCTGAGATCAAACCCTTCACACCTGATAGAGCTGGATCTCACAGGAAATGATCCTGGACAATCAGGAGTGAAGCAGCTCAGTGATTTACTACAGGATCCAAACTATCAGCTGAAGACACTGAGGTGAGAGATGATGAAATAATACTTAAATGATGTGCTGGTGAATTATTTATAGAAAAAAATATTTCACTAATGCAATATGATGCATAAAAGTAAATACAACCATTTCACACATTTATCCATCAGATTTGGCTGCTATTTTTCATTACTCCAATTTTAATGGAGAACTGAACTGAATCCTGCTTTATCTTCTCTTCTCCAGGTTTTTGGGTCCTGCTGCAGATGAAGCCTGTCAGGATGTGAATAGAGTTCTGGGTGAAAACCTGTTACTCCTGAGAGAACTGAATCTGAGTGAACATGAACTAGGACTCTTAGGACTGAAGAAAGTTGCTACGGTACTGCAGGACAAACACTGTAAACTCAACACACTGATGTAAGTTTTATCATTATTATGACAATTTCAATACTTATGAACTTTCTGCTGGATGTTTTATATATAGTTTACCACTTCTAACAACTAACTCTTTAGTATTTAACAAATATTTAGTTTAAACTGTAACTGAAACAGTTTTTCTCTTAACACAGTCTGAATAACAGCAATATCACAGAAGAAGATTGTCGTTTATTGGCTGCAGCTTTAAATTCAAACCCTTCGAATCTGACAGAACTGAATCTGAGTCAGACTACACTCAAAAATTCAGTAATGAAGTTCTTCTCGACTCTGTTTAAGAATGAACAGTGTGGACTGAAAAAACTGAAGTAAGTAATTTAGTCAATGTGTTAAAGGACAACTACTGAAAAACTATTGTCATGTAAATCTCATTTTGGTGGACTAAAGTAATAAGAGACAAAGCTACTAGTTGCATAATAGTATTTATGGCTTTTTCTCTCTGTTCTACAGGTTTAATTGCATCAGTATTACAGCAGAAGGTTGTGCTGCTCTGACTTCAGCATTTAATTCAAATCCTTCAAACCTGATAGAGCTGGATCTGAGTGGAAATAAACTAGAAAACTCTGGAGTGACTGAAATCTCCACTCTACTGGAAAATTCTCAGTGTACACTGCAGATACTCAGGTTTGAATTTGGTGAATTTAAAAATGAATCATTAATATATTTTACAATAGTAAAAAAAACCATTAGTATGCTAAATGAATAATTTTTTATTTATTTTTTGGTCTTCCTCTAGACTCTCAAACTGCAGTATCACTGAAGAAGGTTATAAAGCTCTGGCTTCAGCTCTGAGATCAAACCCTTCACACCTGATAGAGCTGGATCTCACAGGAAATGATCCTGGACAATCAGGAGTGAAGCAGCTCAATGATTTACTACAGGATCCAGACTGTCAACTGAAGACACTCAGGTGAGAGAGATGTGATGAGATAATACAAAAATAAATTATATGCAGTAATTAAAAATATTATTTCACAAATAAAGTCTGCTGCTCAAGATACAATTTCTTCACAAAGTTTAGTTGAATTGAATCCTGTTTCATCTTCTCCTCTGTAGGTTTTTGGGTCCTGCTGCAGATGAAGCCTGTCAGTATGTGACTGGAATTGTGGGTAAAAACCCGTTACTCCTGAGAGAGCTGAATCTGAGTGAACATGAACTAGGAGACACACGAGTGAATCAGATCACTGCTCTACTGCAGGATAAACACTGTAAACTCAACACACTGATGTGAGTATTTTTCATTTTCAGAATGCTGTCATTGCTGTTCTTTAAAGTGTTTGCAGAATAAGAACCATGATATAGATTTATCCTTCTGTTATTAGCTTTGTATTAGTATTGTAGCTGAAATCAGCTGAAGATTGTTTCCTGTCTTTGTTTTCTTTCTCTGCAGGCTGAATAATAACAGTATTACAGCAGAAGGTTGTGCTGCTCTGACTTCAGCATTTAATTCAAATCCTTCAAACCTGATAGAGCTGGATCTGAGTGGAAATAAACTAGAAAACTCAGGAATGAAAAAGATCTGTCATCTGGTAGAAAACAAACAATGCAGATTAGAAAAGCTGAAGTGCGTATTGACATTAATCCAAATTACTATATGTTAATATACAATAATGTTCAATTTATTATTTTCATATAGTTTCACTTAGACTGGGGTTAATGTTCTGCATAACATCTGCTTTTGTGTTTGACTGAAGAATTAAGTTTTAAACACAACATGTGGGTGAATGAATAATGACTATTTACTTTTTGGCAAATGATTAATTTATTAAGTTTTGATTATCAAGGATTTGGTTAATGCATCTATTTATAGATTATTTGGGAGAAAAACTAACTAGATAAGCATACATTTTTGTTAGTTAGAAGTTCTTTATAAAGCTCAGTATCTGTATGATAAACTTTATCTCAACAAAGAAAACTATTATTTTCTGTTCTAGACTTTCAGACTGCAGTATCACTGAAGAAGGTTATAAAGCTCTGGCTTCAGCTCTGAGATCAAACCCTTCACACCTGATAGAGCTGGATCTCACAGGAAATGATCCTGGACAATCAGGAGTGAAGCAGCTCAATGATTTAATACTGGATGGGCGCTATAAATTGAACACCATCAGGTGGAGAAATCTTAACATGTTTAAAAGTTGTACTTTAAAATTAACTTTCTGCAACCATGCTGCAGTGCTGCATCAATAATCAGTTGAGAAGTCATGTCTTCTTTTGATTATTTTTTTTAATCACATCACAGCACATACAATATGCAAGATCAGGAGCATTATATTACATTGTATTAACAGAACAGATGTGTGATTCTTCTGTAATTTTTTTAATATGTTCCACGTGAATAGCAAATTGACCTTAAAAAGTTACTGAACAGTCTACTAAATACTATATTTAAATACATTTATTTCGTGCATGGATTGTGCCATCTAGCGGCTGCATGTGAAGCACGATTAGCATCTTAGCTATATGGTCCACTAATGACTAATACAACCTGTCCTGTACACAGTTTTCATGGTTTCTTTAAGTATCTGAATTTCTTTTTCCAAACTGGCTAAACACCCCCTGACTAAGCCTTTTACAGCAGCCACCCCCAAAACTCTCGAGGAGTGGAGACATAATGTCTCTTGTCCAAAAACCTAAATTCTTAATTCTCTTCTACATCCTGCAGGTTTCTGAAAAGTTCTGCTGCACAGGAAGCGTGCAAGTATCTCACTAAAGTTCTGCGTAAAAGTCCATTATTACTGACAGAACTGGATCTGAGTGAAGATAAATTAGGAGATCTAGATGGAGAGAAACTCTCTGCTCTTTTGATGGACTCTCATAGCAAACTGGAGACAATGAAGTGAGTGAACATGATTTATACATTATAACTTCTGTTTATTCATTATAAAAGACTGTCAGTCACATCTGTGAGCAAAAATAAAGACCTAATGATCTGATGTGTGTTGAATATGTGTTGAAAAAAAAATAATGCTGTTTTTCTGTTTAGGCTGAATAATTGTAAGTGGACAGAGAAAAGCTGTTCAGTTCTAGCTACTGTTCTCTCCTCCAAAACCATCCTGAAAGAGATGAACCTGAACAACAGTCGTCTGCTGGACTCAGGAGTCAAAGAGATCTGTGAGGGACTGAAGAATCCTGTGTGTGAGCTGAAGATACTCAAGTGAGTACATTTCACCAGCAGCTACACTCAACAAAATAACAATCATAATAATATGGTTTAACTAGATATTCTGTTTCCTCTGTCTTTTCCCTTCTGTCAAAACTTTGCGATTTGATTTAATTAATTTAAGAATTGTTTTAATTGACACTTGAAAATTAATTTGTAGCATTCAGTTTTTTTATAATCTCACAGACACTAATTTTAAGTGGCATTTAGGGAACTAGTTGACCACAACACACCCCCACACACACATACTGTATGTATATATTAAAAAAATATGTATATAAGCACATAGCCGCATTACTTGAAAACTCATTGGATAATGCAATGTTCAATTATTATTTTCAGGCTAAGTAAGTGTGATCTAACAGATGAAAGCTGTTCAGCTCTTGCTTCGGTTCTCAGTTCAGACTCCAGCAGTCTGAAGGATCTTGATCTAAGCAATAATAATCTGGAAGATTCAGGAGTGAAGCTGCTCTCAGATGGGCTGAAAGAGAACTGTAAGCTAGAGAAGCTCTGGTGAGTTGCTGTGTAACTCTGGGCCTTTTGTTTGTTTAAATAGTTACTCATCAGTAAGTAAGTAATCATGTCAAAAAGTGTGTGTGCGTGTGTGTGTGTGTGTGTGTGTGTGTGTGTGTTTATATAGCATGTATACGCATGTATAAGCATTATTTTGTTATTGTAATGGCAGGAAGCAAATTTTTTTCTCACCTGAACATTTTCACAATGCTGTAGTTCAATTTTCACAATGTATCATGTGAAAAAATGGTGTAGTCATTCTGTAGTCAGCATTTTGTCCTGTTGCACTGGTTGTCATGACAATGTCAGTTTAGGTTTATGACTGCTGCACATGAGAGCTCACTGACAGAACTAATCCAGTGCTACAAATAAGTACAACAGCATTCCACTGAAACATTCTGGCATGAATGAGAAAAAAAAGAATAACATATAAAAAGTAAATCAGTTAATTTGTTGTTAATTTAAAAAGCACTGCATTACTTTACTCATTGCTTGAAAAAAGTAATCTGACATACAAGTAAACTTTCATTTCTTGAATTTCTAGAATAATTAATTAATCACATAAATGTTCCATTTTCACCCCTGTTCTAGTCTTTCAGACTGCAGTATCACCGAAGAAGGTTATAAAGCTCTGGCTTCAGCTCTGAGATCAAACCCTTCACACCTGATAGAGCTGGATCTCACAGGAAATGATCCTGGACCATCAGGAGTGAAGCAGCTCAATGATTTACTACAGGATCCAAACTGTCAGCTGAAGACACTGAGGTGAGATTACAATGTTCAGTGCATCAAGTGACCGACTGCTAAATTCAGAGTCAGACCTGATTTCACGCTTAGGCTGGCACTTAGCCAGAGATGAATGCGCTCAGTGCTTGGCGTCACAATGCATCACAACTATGCAGTATTTTCAACCACATAATATTTATTTTAGGCTTCAGACATTTAGATACACATAAGTTCTAGCAAAAAAAAATGTAGTTTGTAAAATACACATTAACGTCTATGGGATCAGCGATAATGATCCTTTCAACTATATTTTGATGTGTTTTATTAATATAATGTAGGTAACAATAAAGTTTATTCTATTCTTCTCACAATTCACCAGCCACTTACTGTCACGTTAACACTCAGTTTAGATGTCGTTGTTTTCAGTTTGCACCATTTTCCTTAGTTTGTTGTCATTGTTGTTAATTGATTTGTAATTTGGCTCAGCTGTGTTCAGTTAATTTTCACCAGTACTTAAGTTCTCTCAGTTTCTGTTCAGTGGGTCTGACCACGTTAATGCTTTGTAGATGTTACCTGTGTATTCTATGGACTGAGTGCTATATTAAAAATACTACTGTTTCTTCATCATCATTGTGTTCGTTTTTGAGTTAACTACAAACCGTGACACTTACTTTCATGTCTTTCACAAAGTAATATGGCGGAACACATCGCCCATTATAGATCAACTAATATGATCATTATATAAATAATCAAATATATTTACTAGCACATATTTGACAATTGGAATATCAGATGTTTCGTAATATAGTTAACATGTTTGTGAATATTTTGAATAAAAAAGGGAAAACTAAATAAATGCAATACATTGCGATACACACGCATACAGAGCTAGAGTTAATGCAGTCTGTCATGTGACAAGTATGACACGTCACCATGGAAACAATACACATTCTAAAATAACAGTTGCGTTAAACCAAAGACTATAGAATACCCAAGACATGTCACTCGTATAGTTTTGAATGGGGAAAAATGCAACGCTCAATCGCAGGAAGCCCCACCTTCTGAATGAAAGAGCCAATCGCTAATCGGTAAAGTCAGCGCGTCACTGCAGCTGCCGTTAGAAGTCCCGGTTGCTAGAGAAACAGTCATCGCTCTGAGACGTGCGCTTATGGTGCGTTCAAGTCATGTCGGATAGATCGTATTTACGAGTTGAACGCACATGAACGCCACCACAAAGTCGTTATTAGGAGTGGGAAACTCAAAATTTTCTTTAAGCCCCGAGTTTCCGAGTTGGGGGCGGGTCAATGAGAAACATGGCGGAATTGATGGATGCAACGTCTGTAGTTGATGGTAAATTTTTGTTTAAATTGATAGTTTAGTTGTCCTATAAAGATTGCCAAAGTAAAACACAAATCACAATACTTATAGGTATTAAGCAGTGACATTGTCAGGCTTTTTATTTACAAAAAGTAAGCTTTTTGAATGTGGCAGGATTGTAATGTAACAATTAATAACAAGTTTTTATGCGATACAGATTAAAGTGGCTTCATAAATTACTTTTTAAAAAAATTAAAAACGCAAAACACACCTGATGCGAATTCTTTGCTCTTCATTTTCTATAAGCAGAGTTAACAGACCTTGTTGTATTTTCTCGTAATTTATTAAAAGAAGGTACACCGCCATCTTGTGCCGACTAAACTGACTTGAATGCACCTGATGTCATAATTACGACTTGTCAACTCGTAAGTACGAACGTCCCAGGAGGACTTGAACGCAGCAATAGGACTGTGCATGCGCACTGGCTGATCTAGCCTGAAAAAAATAAGCTTTTTATAACGCTATTTGAGCAAAAGAAACAACATTTATGACACAGTTGTTGTCAGATTTCTTTGGTGATTTCAAATATGAAATTTAATCGTAAGCTTAGTGAACAGTTTTGGAGAATTTGATGTTTCCCCATACAAAGAGATAGGAGCTGCACTTGCATGCCCGAGAGGCGTTTCAAAGATGGCCGCCGAGTGACATGACTTGTCTTAAAGAGACTTTGGTTAAACTCACACTGGGAGCTCAGCTAGAATATTTTAAACGTATGTGTGAAAGGGTTAATATTAGACTATTATTAAAAAAGACTATTAGGGTTCTAAGCAAAAAATGTTATACCTTTTTTTGTGTGCAGGTTTTTGAGTCCTGCTGCAGATGAAGCCTGTCAGTTTGTGACTGGAATTGTGGGTAAAAACCCGTTACTCCTGAGAGAGCTGAATCTGAGTAAATGTGAACTAGGAGACACACGAGTGAATCAGATCGCTACTCTACTGCGGGATAGACACTGTAAACTCAACACACTGACGTGAGTATTGCACATTGTTTTATACTTTACAGTATACAGTATACGTATCTTTGAAACAGAATAACAGTTTATATTACATTTTGATAATTGTCATTGAAATTTTTTTTAAACTCTTATTTGTATAGAAAGCCATTAGGACTCACATTAGCACAGTTGATGAAAACATCAATCATAAAAATGAATGAATGTGACATAGAGGTTACGCAGCTAAATATAGTGAATCCCAGTTAAAGTGCAAAAAAACACTAATGCTTATTTCATTTAAACCTGTTATCATGACCCTAATTTGTTGGTGAGTCCTCACAACAATCACAAACATTAGACTGAATGTTGCTGCAGCTTTATAAACACAGTTGCATAAAGGCCACCGTTTAGCATTTCGCTCCTGCATATGAATGCAAGGCATGTTAAACATGAGGCTTAGTTTAAAACATGTTTATAGTTGCTCATTTAGAAATTAATAAGGCAGACCATGCAATATTCACAATGAAATGAGTAAAAGAGAATTCACTTATCTTAGATGTTGATTTTAGATGCTTTCTGAAGCGTGCTGCAACTGCTACAGCAAGCAACGAGTATTTGAATGTTGTGCAGCAGCTTATTGGCTGCTGATGCGAAAGAAACCAATCAGCTGCGCCATGTGAATAATGATGTGATTATATTAGATTGAGTGCCATGCGCCTTGTAGTTTCATGACAGAGCTTTGTATTTATTGACATGTTAAAGCTAAAAAGAATAATGCTGAATGAGAAAATGAAGATTGTAACATGCTTGTTAAGTTATTAAAAGCACAATAAACTGTGCTAGAGAACTGCATTCTCTATTCACAAGCTTTCAGGTGGCCCTGTATGCATGTACAATACAATACACTATATTTACATATTACACATTATGTATCAAAATGCCTGACTTGGCGTGTATTCAGGTAAACAGTCAGATTTGTCTAAAGTGAGCGTAAACAGTTGGGAGAAAATCAGATGTGTATCAATAAATTAAATCTGTGCATTTAGTATTAAAGTGACAGCAACCTAATATACCTGCTGCTCTTTACTGAAAAACTTTTGTAGCATATTTAATTTATGCAGTCTCCACAGTTTTATTTTATTTCATATTTAATGACGCCCTTTTTTTTAGTATTTTGTACTTGAATATTAGGCTACATAAAAAAACAACTAATTTGCGTCTTTGTTCTGGTGGGTTTATTTGTCTTATTGCTTGTAATTTGATTTTGCTTTTATCACAGATTGTTTACTTATTTACTTAATTGCTTAAGAAGATTTTACTTATATTAGGCTAGGTTTGCTGTGGCATTGAAAAGCATGTTGTGTCAGAAGAGAGTCCCAATGTCTTTGCTTTAAAACCCTTTCTGTTAATGAAGTTGTGTGTTGTGGCTAAAATATTCCAAATAATTTTTCCTGTCTTTGTTTTCTTTCTCTGCAGGCTAAATAATAACAGTATTACAGAAAAAGGTTTTGCTGCTCTGACTTCAGTGTTTATTTCAAATCCTTCAAACCTGATAGAGCTGGATCTGAGTGGAAATAAATTAGGAAACACTGGAATCGAGATGATCTGTGTTCTGTTGAGAAATCCACAATGTAGCTTGAAGAAACTGAAGTGTGTATTTGTATTCATCTACATTTCTGCATGATAATAAACATTTATAATTGTCCATTTGATTAGATTAACTGAAAAAAAAATTAAGATGGCTATGGAAACTAAAATGATTTTTTTTTTTTTACTTTGTGTTTAAAGAGAACTTTAGCCATTGTATGAAACTCAAATGAAGCAGGTTCTATTAATGCAATGGGTGTAGTACTTAACAGCTTTTTTATGTATATTTAGACTTTCGGACTGCAGTATCACTGAAGAAGGTTATAAAACTCTGACTTCATCTCTGAAGTCAAACTCAAACCTGATAGAGCTGGATCTCACAGGAAATGATCCTGGAAAATCTGGAGTGCAGGGTCTCATTAATTTACTGCGGGGTGGATGCTGTAAATTAAAGATTGTCAGGTAATAAGAACCTTTTAGTATTTCGAAATAAGCCAAAGACATATTCAGATGTGTGCAACTAGTTAAATGTGACAAATAAAGCAAATGTAGAATTAGACTGACATGAAGAGGAATTTACTGAATTGCTATTCAGCAAAACTGGTAATATTTATCACAATATGCTGCAAAAGGCATAAAATAAAACAAGATTATCTAATCTAAATTTTCTAAATGTTCTGCTTCCTGTAGGTTTTTGAAAAGTTTGGCTGCACAGGAAGCGTGTGACTATCTGAGTCAAGTTCTTGGTACAAATCCATTAGTACTAACGGAACTGGATCTGAGTGAAGATAAATTAGGAGATCTGGATGGAGAGAAACTCTCTGCTATTTTGATGGACTCTCATAGCAAAGTAGAGAAAATGAAGTGAGTGAACATGATTTATAACTTTTGTTTTGTTCAGTATAAAGTACTGTCAGTCACATGTGAGCAGATATGAAGAGCTGTTGATCTGTTGTGTGTTGAATATGTGCTGAATAATAAATAATGCTGTTTGTGTGTTCAGGCTGAATAATTGTAAGCTGACAGAGAAAAGCTGTTCAGTTCTAGCTACTGTTCTCTCCTCCAAAACCGTCCTGAAAGAGATGAACCTGAACAACAGCCGTCTGCTGGACTCAGGAGTCAAAGAGATCTGTGAGGGACTGAAGAAATCTAAGCTAAAGATATTAAAGTGAGTACATTTCAACATCACCTACACTTAACATTATATATTTATTGAATCTGGTAGCTTCCAGAGGTGAAAAAAACTGTAAGATTTTTTTTTTATTTCATAACAGTGGTATTATCTCTAGGTAAAACTAAAATTAAAACTTAAATAATTTTTTTGTTGAATGTGATAAAAAATGGCACAATTATAAATAAAATAAAATAAATGTAGCAAATAATTACAATTAAGTATAATTAATTACAGTTATTTATATCAGCTGCCAGTAGTAACTGTAGCAGAATTATTATTACCATCAACTAATCTGTTCGTCCAGCGAGCATTCAGTGTAATTTCATATCAACTCTAAAAAAAAAAATATTTTTGTGGCCACAGAAAATAACTTTCTTACAAGTACTAATGCAGTAGAGCATGTAACCAGATCGGCTTGTTAAAGGGACATTATCTGAAAGCAGTGACAGTCAGAAACCCATGTAATTTGTACACGAAATGTTATTAACTAAACACTAACACACAACTAGTGTAAGCAAACAAACATACAATCACACATACATGGGGGAGGGGCACATGAGACTGAATGAATGAAACCATTAGAGAAACAGGATTCAGTTAGTTAACCACCTGAGTGAAACCATCAGCACCGTTTTCTGAAGATGGGGTCTACAGCTTATTCTAAACCTCTGTTCCATTTAGTTAAATGTATGATACTTGCATTGCCTTGGCCGTTGAATGAGTGTCTGGATGCGGTCTTGGATGAAAGTCTTGATGGTTCGAAGGTTCGAGGGTGTTGGAATTGCAATCACGTTCTACCAGGTTTGAACAGTGACAAACTCCAAAGATGTTATTCTGACTTGGTGGTGGTTGAGAGAGTTTTCTCCCAGATGGAAAGTGAAGACATGGCTGTAGTCCATAAAAAAAGCTGAAGTGGTTTGCTTACTTGTCTGTTTTTTGTTTATCATATCTGATCATGTATTCAGCTCTGGTGTGTTCTAGTTATATATTGTGACTCAGCATATTGTGCAGCAATTAATTAACTTGAAACACAATGTTAAATTTAAATGTAAAAATGTATTTAAATTTAAGCTTTATGTTTTGTAGACTTTCAAACTGCTGTATCACAGAAGAAGGTTATAAAGCTCTGGCTTCAGCTCTAAAATCAAACTCAAACCTGATAGAGCTGGATCTCACAGGAAATGATCCTGGACAATCAGGAGTGAAGCAGCTCATTGATTCACAAAAGGGATGGGGTATTTTATCAGAAACACTGAAAACACTGAGGTAAGTGTTATTAAAATAGTAAAATGCAAAAGTTTATAGCTGGAAGAGGGTTAAACCATCAAAAAGACATTTATAAAAGCTTTGAAATGACTGACCTTGAAATGACCCTTTAAAACAAGATTGCAAAAACTCATTATATGGCAGGTAATATCAATGTACTTCTATTATATCCAGGTTGTTGCTCCTGGACAATCAGGAGTGAAGCAGCTCAGTGATTTACTACAGGATAAAAACTGTAAACTAAAACTGAGGTGAGTCATGATCAAATTATACAAAATAATGATACAAATGATACAAAATTCACCTGATATGGAGGTGAATTATTCATATAAATTGTATTTCACTAACTTTGTTCCAACAACTAATTGTGCTGTTTTAAAAAACTGACTATTGATTACACCAAGTTCTGTTGAATTGAATCCTGCTTCATCTTCTCTTCCACAGGTTTTTGAGTCCTGCTGCAGATGAAGCCTGTCAGTATGTGACTGGAATTGTGGGTAAAAACCCATTACTCCTGAGAGAACTGAATCTGAGTGAATGTGAACTAGGAGACACACGAGTGAATCAGATCGCTGCTCTACTGCAGGATAAACACTGTAAACTCAACACACTGATGTGAGTATTGTGTTCATTTATTATTGTAGATTGATCTTAAATCAGGTGACAAAACAGTATTTCTCAGTGATTAATTTCTCAGAGACTGAATGTTGGCACCAGGTATTTCGTGTTTATAAATTCTCTCTCCTGTTCAATATTTTAGTCTGCGTAAGTGTGGTCTGACAGAGAAAAGCTGTTCAGCTCTCGCTACAGTCCTGAGATCAAACTCCAGTCTGAAAGAACTTGACATGAGCAACAATAATCTGCAGGATTCAGGAGTGAAGAAACTCCAGACCGGATTAGAAGATACAAACTGTACACTGCAGAAACTCAGGTGAGTTCAGTGTGAATCATTGTTTGATTTTAATCATAACATAGTCTTTTGATCAAAATAAAAATTACTATAGAAACAGGAAACAGAAAGAAACAATAAAAACATGCCTTTGTCAAATGATGCATTTTTCTTTACTTATAAGAGAAAGTACATTTGATGATTTTATGATATAAAACTGTTTTTAAGTGATATATTTTTTTATTTTAAACCTTTATTTTTATTTTAAACCAGACTTTCAGACTGCAGTATCACTGAAGAAGGATATAAAGCTCTGGCTTCAGCTCTGAGATCAAACCCTTCACACCTGATAGAGCTGGATCTCACAGGAAATGATCCTGGACAATCAGGAGTGAAGCAGCTCAATGATTTACTACAGGATCCAGACTGTCAACTGAAGACACTGAGGTGAGAGATGATGAAATAATACAAAATAAATGAAATGCAGACCAATTATTAACAAACATCATTTCACTAATTTAATATTCTGCACAATTTGTTGTTGCATCAGAATTAAAGTGATTTCAAGATAAACTAAATCTGCCTACTGATTTCCCATTTTATCTTCCCATCTGCAGGTTTTTGGGTCCTGCTGCAGATGAAGCCTGTCAGTATGTGAAAGGAATTGTGGGTAAAAACCCGTTACTCCTGAGAGAGCTGAATCTGAGTGAACGTAAACTAGGAGACACACGAGTGAATCAGATCTCTGCTCTACTGCAGGATAAACACTGTACACTCAACACACTGATGTGAGAATTTCTCATGGTTTAATACTTTACAATAACTTTAAAGGGGTCATATGATGCGATTTCAAGTTTCCCTTTCTCTTTGGAGAGTTACAAGTTGTTTGTGAATAGATAAGATCCCTAAAGTTGCAGAAACTAAAGTCTCAAACCCAAAGAGATATTCTTTATAAAAGTTAAAACTCATCCACGCCCTCCTAAAACGGCTCGTTTTAACACGCCCCCACATGTCTACTTCACTGTGTGGGAAGATTTACATAACACCGCCCAAATGTTCACGCAAAGAAAGAAGGCCGTAACTTTTATTCTCGCCATGTTGTGGAGACGCTGTGTGTTTCGTTGTGAAAGCGAAACTACTTTGTTTGGTCTTCCAAAAGAGGACACAACTAGAAATCAGTGGTTAAGTTGTATTTAAAACACTGTTCCAGAACAGTTCAACCCAAATATTCAGATGTGTGCAACGCATTTTACGGAGGACTGTTTCTGATCCTGGGAGAGTAGCCTACAATGCCGGTGTTCTGACAAATAATACTGACTCACAGCCTGCAAGTACGTTTACATATTTAAAGGATTTGCCACTGATGATTCAAACACGAGTTTTGAGCAGTGTAGAGT